TATGACACATGTTGATGATGAGTTTGATAGTAGTGCCATTTCAGGAAAGTTTGAGTAATAGTCAATGACCACTAAATAGTCTTTACCTTTGAGATGAAACAAATCCATTCCACCTTTATCCCATGGTGCTGTTGGCACATCAGTCACTATCATGGGCTCTTTAGTCTGTTTGTTTCTGTGTGTCTGGCATGTGTTACACGTACCAATCAGTCTCTCGATGTCTTTATTTACTCCAGGCCAGAAAACACTGTCTCTCGCCCGTCTTTTGCATTTTTCAACACCCAGATGACCTTCATGTATTTTTTTTAGGGCCGGGACTTTAACGCGTTAATTAAGATTAATTAATTACACAAAAATTAACGCGTTAAAAAAATTAACGCATTTTAATCGCACTTATTTTTGCACCGCGGAACGTTTCTCACTGGATGAGTTTCAGGCGTACCGATTATACTGGAGCACCAACTAACGTTCATGACTTCAGACAACAACAAACCACAGTGAACAACAGTGGGAAATGTTGTTTTAAAAAACGGACGGATGGAAGCGTCGATAAAAGCACGGTTGTGTGCAAATTATGCAAAAAGGAATTCGCATATCACCGCAGCACATCAAGCCTCAAATATCACCTCAATGCAAAACATATAGCAGCTAGCGTGGAAGCTAGCGTGGACGTTAGCCTCTTTTATCGCGTTCACACCAAAAAGAGCCGGTACTAAAATTAGTTAATGAGAACCTTTTTACCCCCACGAAAGTCCCTGCTAGAGAGCAGAGAGCTGCTAGAGAGCAGGGACTTTCGTGCGGCTCTCTTGTGAGAAAAGAGCTATATTTCTGATTGGCTGGGCGGATTGCAAACCACGCCCCGTAAAACTCCCAAAAAGTGTTGTGAAGCCGCCATTTTAGCGCAGAAACGCAGAGAGACTAACTTATGGCAACACAAAATAAAACATGGGAGCGGTGGAGATGAGGAGGTGTCGGCGTTCTGGTGATTTACTCGGAAGGCTCCCAGCAGCTTCTACTGAAGCCAGTCCCTAACTCCGGGGACTTCCGGCCGGGGACTTTGGGCGGCAGTATACGCCGTGAAGTGGTTTGCGGCCTGCCAGTAAACCCAAAGCAGAAGAAGAAGAAGTGACGTCAGCGGCTTCATTTGCCTAATCCACCTCCAGGTTCAAAGAGTTCTCATGAACTAAATTCTCATGAACCTTTGTGGGAAAAGTACTGCGGTGTGAATGTGCCTAATGGTATACTAAAATCCATGTGAAAAAAATTGCTTCTCACTGTTCTCAGGTCAAATATTTATATGTGATTAAAAATGCGATTAATTTCGATTAATTAATTACAAAGCCTCTAATTAATTAGATTCATTTTTTTAATCGAGTCCCGGCCCTAATTTTTTTTAGTACTTCCTGTCTCAATGCACGTGGAATGACAATCCTGTGTTGTTTCAGTAATAGTCCATCCACGACACTCAGTTCACCTCTGATGTGGTAGAAGAGCGGACAGGAACCTACAGGCCATCCATTTTGCATATTTGCAATGACACACTGCAGCTCTGTGTCTTTTGCTGTTTCTTCAGCTATCTGTCTGGACTTTGTGTCTGATACAGGAAGAGCAGCAGACACCATGTTCACATGACTTTTCACATCCTCTTCAGTTGTACTCACATAATCCACTGTAGGTGCTCGTGAGAGAGCGTCAGCAAGTATCAGGTGCTTTCCAGGTGTGTAGATCAGCTCAAAGTCATATCTCTGCATCTTCATCATGAGACGCTGTATCCTTGGTGTCATTTCACTTAAATTATTTTTAATGATGGATACAAGTGGACGATGTTTTGTCTCTACTGTGAATGAAGGTAGGCCATATACGTAGCTGTGGAACTTCTCCAAGCCATAAACCAGTCCCAGACATTATTTTTCTATTTGAGCATATCTGCACTCAGTCTGTGTCATTGACCTGGATGCATAGGCCACTGGTTTCCAATGCTCGCCTTCAACTTGTAGGAGCACTGCGCCTATTCCATCCTTTGAAGCATCTGTTGAAACTTTAATTTTCTTTGTTGGGTCAAAGAATGTCAATACAGGTGCAGTTGTGAGTGTCTGTCTGAGTGTTTTCCACTCTTGCTCATGTTTGACTGTCCATTTAAACTCAAGCTTGTCTCCGAGAAAGACAACTTCTTGAACTCCAAACTCGCATTTGCTCTTGTTAAGCTTGAGTCCATACTTGTGTATGCGCTCCAGCACCTTTTTCAGCCTCTCATTGTGTTCTTGTCGTGTAGAGCCCCACACAATGATGTCATCAACATATGCTCTAACACCGTCCAGCCCCTCAATGATGTGCTCCATCGCTCTGTGAAATATTTCGGATGCTGAGATGATCCCAAAGGGCAGTCTGAGGAAGCAATATCTGCAGAATGGTGTATTAAAAGGTGCAATATTTGGTGCTGCTTTCATCCAGTTTCAGCTGCCAAAAGCCTTGAGACGCATCAAGCTTTGTGAAGAAGCTGGCACCTGCCATTTCACTTGTGATTTCCTCACGCTTGGGTATCTGATAATGTTCACGCTTGATGTTTTCATTAAGATCTTTTGGGTCCATACACACTCTTAAATCACCACTTTTCTTCTTTACACAGACCATCGAGTTAACCCAGTCTGTTGGCTCCTCAACTTTTTTTATCACTCCGAGCATTGTCATTCTGTCGAGCTCTTTCTTTAAGCGATCTCTGAGTGGCGCTGGAACTCTTCTTGCAGCATGCACAACTGGCTGTGCATTTTCTTTGAGCTGGATTTTGTATGTGAAGGGCAACACACCAAAACCCTTAAACACATCTGCATACAATCAATTGAGTCATTTGGTGTACTCACAGTTGTGTTGATGCAATACACTCTCTTGACAAGTTCCAAATCTTCACATGCTTTATCACTCAGCAGTGAATCAGTCCATCAGCGACAACAGAGAAAAGTAGGTGGTGCACTTTACCTTTTGAGGTTACCTTTAATATGCACACACCCAAACTGTTGATTTTCTTTCCATTATAATCTTTTAGTGCCTGTGTTCTTTTTTTAATTTGTGGCTTATCTTTCATTGCCTTGATGTCAGACAGGCTCATCAGGTTTGCTTTTGCACCAGTATCCAGTTTCATAGTTATTATTGTCCCGTTAATCATCAGTGGAGCTATCCATTTGTCTTCTCTGATTGCATTAACCTCTTTTTGCTCGGTTTCACAGTTCATCATGCCAACAAAAAATGTCTCACTTAAATCATCGTCTTGTGGTGCCGAGAGATAGGGAGTCGGAGGCGGTGCAATGGAGGTGCAAAAGGGTAATTTATTAGAGTGTAGAAAAGGACATGTTGTCCGGTTGCAGTCCGGGAAGAAGAGAGAGAAGCCAGGAGGGCACACAACATATATAGTCAACACACAACATGTCCGTGTGGAAACAAAACCCAAACTGTAGTTCCATGTGTGAATTATGAACCAGTGTATTAATAGGTGGTCACCACACAAGCCCCCCCAGAATTCAAACATAGCACAATCCTCGCGTCTGGGAGGAAGCACCACAGGGGCCGAGGAGGGCGGGGTTGCAGGTGAGGGCCGGGCCATGGAACGGGCCGTCGGAAAGGGGCCGCAGGAGAGGGTAGGGGCCCTAATGAGGGCATCCCCACCGGGGGCGGGCCGGAACGGGCTGTCGTAAGGAGACCGCAGCAGGCGTCGTGGCGAACGAAGAACTCACCCGCCAGTCGGTGAAAGCCGGGTCGCTGAGCCGCGACGGGCGTGAATAACCCGGTGGTCCCCAGCAGGGACCTCGGGAGGAAAGAACCGGGTCCCCGGGGGGCAGGAGCAGCACCCCCAGGAGGAAGGAGCCGTGGACAGGAGAGAGGCCAGACAAGGGGCCGTCCGAAGCTGCCGTCGAGGCGAAGGAAGAGGCCAGACAGGGTCCCGGAGCGCGCCACCCACGGGCCAACGAAGGCATGGGCGACGTCCGAAACTGTCGAGGCGAGACGGGGTCCAGAAGCACGCCACCCAGGCGCCGATGAGAGCGCGGGTGGCGTCCGAAGCCGCCGTCGAGGTGATGAAAAGGCAGAGGGTCCACACGAGGCCAACCAGCCATGGTCGAACCTCCTCTCAGGCACCAGAAAAAGCTCAAAAAGGGCCGTACTGTCCACGGTCCAAAAAACGTAGGTGAAATCGTGAGAGGATCCACACAAGGGCGACCAGACATGGTCGAATCTCCTCTCAGGCACCAGGGAAAAAACTCAAAAGGTCGATAGCCGTTAGCAGCTAGCCGTTAGCTGTGGCCGTTAGCCGCTAGCTGGCAGCCATCGGTAGCCGTTAGCCAACGTGGTTAGCTGCTAGTCGTCGATAGCTAGCGCAGCCTGGACTTGCAGCCGCACGCCCCGAAGAAACAACCCCACGTGGAAGGAGTCTGGTTCTCTCCCCTACCCAGCAGGTCGTGCATCGACTCCTCTGTAGTCGGAAGGCAGATGCGAGAATGGCGAGCAACATCCCCAGCCATTCGGCGAGGCGCGCACCGAGCCTCCGTCCGCGTGCCTGTAGCAGCCACGGTCGACTCCAAAAAAATCCCCGGCATTTCGAGAAAGAAACCTTAGTTTCCTTTGCCGTGTTCGGGTCCGTCTCGGAAACTTCCCAAGACGCTGTCAGGGTCACCAATGTAGTGCCGAGAGATAGGGAGTCGGAGGCGGTGCAATGGAGGTGCAAAAGGGTAATTTATTAGAGTGTAGAAAAGGACATGTTGTCCGGTTGCAGTCCGGGAAGAACAGAGAGAAGCCAGGAGGGCACACAACATATATAGTCAACACACAACATGTCCGTGTGGAAACAAAACCCCAACTGTAGTTCCATGTGTGAATTATGAACCAGTGTATTAATAGGTGGTCACCACAGTCTTCCACTATGTTTACAGACTTTCCTTTCTTCCTCTCATTTCCTTTTGAGAAGCACTGCTTAGCAAAATGGTTCTGGCCCTGGCAATTAGAGCATTGCTTACCAAATGCCGGACACTGTCGTGGTTTGTGCTTCGAGCCGCAGCGCTTACAGCTGAATGTTCCTTCTTCTGACCGCTGTGTAGGCCGCGTCTGTGCGCGCCATTTGCCTTGGCTGGAGACCGCACCAACTGCTGCGCCATCACTCACGTTAGCCGCGCCCGCCATCTCGCTGAAAGTCCTGACGTGCATTTGGGACAGCTCGCTTGCATGGCAGATTTTTATAGCTGCTTCACATGTCAGCTCCGTTTCCCTTGGTAGCCTTTCTCTGACCTTTTTATCCTCCACGCCAAAAACGATCTGGTCCCGAATCATGGAGTCCCTCAGCGTAGCAAAGTTGCATGACTGTGCTTTTAGCTTCAGGTCAGTCAGAAAGCTATCAAAAGGCTCATGCTGCTGCACACGTGAACGGAATACATATCTCTCGTATGTTTCGTTCTTTCTGGGAGAGCAGTGGGCATCACATTTCTCGAGCACTTTATCCAGTTTGTCTTTATCAGCCTGCTCTTCATACACAAAAGTATTGTACACTTCTATCGCCTGTGGGCCTGCTATAGTTAGCAGTAGCGCTACCTTCCTAGCATCCGGCTTAGTTTCCAGTCCCATGGCCGTGATGTAAAGCTGGAACTGCTGCTGGAACTGCTGCTTGAAGGTCCGCCAGTTGCTGTCGACATTTCCCGAAAGTTTTAGCGTCTCCGGTGGCTTTAATGAATCCATGTCGCTTGTCACAACTCCTCACTTAATGTGTTTTTATTTTTACTTCATAATTTACTCCTGGTACCATGTTTTGTGTGTTGGTCTATTAATGAACTGACTCGTTCTTCATGCTAAAGTGTTAGCCAAGTTTAATCAAGCGGTCTTGTTCGGGTCCCTTACCGTACATGTGGATTTAAACATAGGTCACAACTATGTGGCGACACCTTGTGGTAGGAGTGTGTATCTATCTAATCCACACACTTTTCTGGCTGCTAACGCCATTGTAACACATAATCACTTATGTTCCGCTGTAACGGTGGTGGACTCATCAGAACAGAGTGGGCGAGCTGACTAATCAGATCACATTGGGCTCATAGGGAGGGGAGGATGGAGGGGAGGATGGGGGGAGGGATGGGAGGGATGGGAGGAGGATGGGAGGAGGGGAGGAGGGATGGGAGGAGGGATGGGAGGATGGGAGGAGGAGGGATGGGAGGAGGGGAGGAGGGAAGGATGGAGGATGGGAGGATGGGAGGATGGGGGGGGGAGGGAGCTCCAACAAGCCGTTCACAGAGAGTGAATACACAGAGATGCTGTATGAGGAACCAAAGGGATTTTGGAACATTGAACAATGTAAATCTATTCTAGTATACCTCAACAATGGAATTATGATCAGTAGAAATGGCCATGACTTTTAACATAACTTGACATGTATTTAACATAACAGCAATATTTGAGATTGTTAGAAGAAAAAGACTTGAAGAATAAAAAACATTCTTATTAAATGTCATCGAGGGTTTTTCAAATGTGTCCAATATAAATGTTGTGTCTGAAGATGAGGTTAAATGTAATTTCACAAGACTTTTTATTTTAGTTTATTTTAGAATTTCCATCTAACACGTGATGCATTTTCTTTATTGTAAGCATTTTGAGGCTGTTGCCATCTTTGTTGTGTACTGATGCCATGATTATGTGCCCTGTCTATCACCATTTGGTGACAAAAGCGTGTGTGTCGTTGTCCATACACACCGTGTCCATGTGACTCAGAACTGCTGTCTCTGTCATTCCTGCTCACGAGCATTACCGCAGCTACCTGCCCCTGCCTCCCCCCACTGCAGTAAATCATTCAGGATTGGATTCACTCACCTGTACACTAAAATCATGTTCATTGTTTGGCTTTAGCTTGAGAGGAGATGCCAAAAGTCATCTAACATCACTGATATTTCTCTTGCAAATGTCTAGAGGAAGATTTAGATGGTTGACCGCTAACATTTATCGTAGAACTGACTCCCTGCTCCAGATAAGCAGCAGAAGCCGTCTGAGAGTAATGTTCAAAATATATTCACAGCACCTGATAAGAAGTTTCATTAGCTTATTAAACAAATTTCAGCATGCTGCCTGACTAGATTTGTATATTTTTGGATTTTCCCCAGCACTTTTGATACTCCTTTTTGTCTAAACTTCAGTGGATTACATCTAGAAATAAATAGACATATTTTGGGTGGTGGGGGATACTGTTTTAGAAATCATAAGCCTGAAGACTTTATGATTCCACAGGCCATTGATGAAAACATTTATTTTTAAAGATTTGTGGGCAACCAGTGCCTTTATTAAGTGAATCAGTAGTGACAAAGAGGGCTGTAAACTAATATTTTTGGTCAGTTACCATTGAAAATGAACACTTGTTGGGACAGATATGACAACATAATGTATTCTCCCAAGAATAGAACACAGAAATGATCAAATAGCATCACATTACACATCTAAACTGCAAGCACACTTAAATACAAAGTATTCCTGGTCGAATGTACTTATTGTAAGTCGCTTTGGATAAAAGCGTCAGCTAAATGTAATGTAATGTATTTGACTAATCAGGATTTGCCTCACCTTAGCCAGTTGACTGCCAGTCATCACTTTAGGTGATCTGCTTGGTGCAGTGGCAGATGCTTTATCCAAGTCCTTCCACAGAAGACAGGAGCAGGGCAGAGGAGGCCTCCAAAGACGTTAAGTCTGACAGTAAATCAGCTGTGCCAGGCCTTCCGCCTAAAGCATCATGCAGTGGCTTAATCCTGTGTGAATCAATGTGCAGAGGGCTGGGACTGTGTCACACCTCCAGCAGCACGGAGTGGAATTAACTCCCTGGCGCTGCCTCTGTCAAGTACCCACCCACTGATGTTCCCACCAGGGTTGGCACAAGAGTCAGCCTGGGCTACAAGGTCTGAGTAAAAGGAAGACAAAAGAGAAAAGAACAAAGACACATTGATATAAACATCTTATACCATAGCGAGTCAAATATGACACTTCATACAATGACATTCTCAAGATTATATTTCTTTCACATGAAGCATTGGTGATGGCTATCATGCTTTGCAGAAGCCTACAAACTGCAAAGAAAGATATGAATGATTTACAATCCTTTCATCCGTTCGGACTATTTATCTCAGAAAAAGTGTCCGCGCATGTAAATGAGGATGATTATGTTTCCCAAGTTTAGACGTGATGTTATTGCTCGGGCAAGGTCTGCATCATTTGTGCATTTTTTTAGAACAAAGTGTGGTTGCTGTTTGAGAATGTTACATTATAACTGGAAGGTTTATGGCCATGATTTGTCACTGCCTGTATCATATTTCGACAGTAATATCAAAGACAAGAGTGCAGTCCAAGAGCAGCAGCTTGGGTTTTTACTCTCCTATGACATCCAATGATTACATGTCAACCTTGCAGCCGAACGCATTCTCAGAGCTCATCCACAGGAAACTCTGATTCTATTAACACCTCCTGCCCTTGTCTCTCATCCGCCCCAACCGCTTCCCCAATGGCCCCACCTCTAAGCTTCTCCCCCGTATTGACCTTCCTGGCCACGCTCCTGAAAACCCCAGATCCCAGTGACCCAGACCTTATTTCCCAAGGCTTTTAAGTGCCTTGCCTCACCATAGCAATGTGGCTCAAATGAGCTTGTCTCCGTAGATGCACTTCTCATACCCTGGTTGGCTACTAACTAAATAATAGCCAACACATGGGATGGAAGAAAGGAGCTCCTGGTGGATGAAACAAAATCAATTCCTAACATGCAGTTTCAAGTAGGGACAAGCAATTCATTTAAACTGTATTCAATCTCAACTTTAGACTTGTATTACAGTTAAAATGGGTGTGCTTCCATTTACTATTATCTCACCTCTTAAGGCTTTCTGCATCTTGCAGTGGTATACAAAGAAAAACTGTAAAACTGTCTAAGAAATCAGAACAAATTGAACAGAGAATAGGTTTCTGTTGACATAAGGTGAGACAGAGTCTGTCTCCAAGTCTGTCCAAGAATTAAGTACAAACTGAAACATTGCAAAAAACTATTGGTAAAAACATGAACATGAGCCAACCTCCTATCCATCCCCACCCGCACCAATCACCGGACCTGGGGGGACAGAGCCTTCTCCGTCGCTGCCCCCTCCCTCTGGAACTCACTCCCCCAACCCATCAGAGACTGCACTGACCTCACCACCTTCAACAAACTCACAAAAACTCACCTCTTCAATCTGGCTTTTAATGTGTGATTGTTTTTGTATTATTTGACTTTAACTTTAACTATATATTTATTTGTTGTTCCTTCCTTTTCTTTTCCCTTCACTATATCTGTAAAGCATCTTTGAGCACCTGCAAAAGCGCTAACAAATTAAATCTATTATTATATTATTATTATTATGAATGGTCCCCTCAGGATGAATTGATAACTTTGTCAATATCTTCCTTAAGTGCTATCGCCAAACTCAAATATTCCCATCAGCCTCAGAAGTATGTTTGTGCTGACTAGCAATGTTAACATGCAAGCACAATATTAAAGGTCACCTATTATGCAAAATCCACTTTTTCATGTCTTTTGTACATAAATATGTGTTCCCTCTAAATTAAGAGATTCTGCAAAAGGAAAAAAATATACGCTCTCTTTTAGTCCTGATCCATTTATATAAAAACTTGTCTGAAAATGAGCTGATCAGATTTTGGCCACTTTATGATGTCATAACGTTTTTTTTGGCTTGTGTAACCATTAGCCAATAACCAACCAAGGTAACATCCCCCCACCACCACCACCTTATCACCTGAATCTCCTCTTAGAGCACCATTGTGGTTTTTTTAACCAAATATCTCTCAGAGGGGCGTGGGGAGTGGCTCCTTATTTTCATCTAAAGTAACAGTAATCAGCACTTTTGAAACAGGTCTGAAACAGAGGGGATTATGGGATGCTACAATGATCTGTTTGGTATTTCGAGCCAAACACTAAAGAGAAATATTTTGTATATGTTTGAGACCTATAATATATTGATGAAAAACAGTAAAATAGGGGACCTTTAAGATCTTGAACATAGCAAACATTATTCCTGCTCACCATTTTAACATTGTCGCTCCATGCATGTTAGCATACTGTCATGAGCAATTAGCTTGAAGCAAAGCTGTCACAGCGACTTCAGCATGTTGATTCTTAGTCTAACAATATCCTCTCAATTAGAATAAGTTAATTTCAGTAATGGATAACGTTAGGTTTTAAACTCGGTCGCCAGTTTATTCCAGGTGCACATACAGTAGTTACAACAAAGCAGTCTTTACTAAACGCTGCAAACTGATATTTGCTGGGTCCAGGCTCAAGGGCGTATGGCACTCTCAACTCTTTCCAGGACATGCCGGGGCCCTGCCTGCCTGTAGCTTTACCGATATCTGTGTTGATAGGTAATAGATTAAGAGCGGTGAATCAGCTTAGATACAGGAAGCGCTCAAACGTTTGTGTGAGTTTATCTAATTTAGCAGTGATTCCATGTCAGCCACAGCTTGTTACAAACAACATGACTGATAGTGTGTCTAACGAAATTAAACTAGCTTTATTAAATGTCAGGTCTTTGGCAGGAAAAACATTTTTAATCAATGATTTTATCACTGAGCACAATCTCGATTTTATGTTTTTAACAGAAACTTGGATTGAACAAAATAACAGTGCAGCTGTTCTTATCGAATCAACCCCTCCCAACTTTAGTTTTATGAGTCAGGAAAGAATGCATAAGAAAGGGGGTGGAGTTGCTATTCTGTTCAATGATTCCCTTCAATGCAGGAAGACATCTTATGGGAACTTTGATTCTTTTGAATATGTGGCCCTTCAGCTGAAATGCTCCTCTCGAGCTCTGTTCC